ATAGGCAGGTTGCTCAAACTGCATGAGCAGTTCAGAGGCAAGAAGGATTTCTTTCTGGAAGGATTGATATTAATCCCAAGCACCAGGTTAATGCCATCACAGTCAGGAGTGAAAAAGAGCTTGAAACAGTGCAGGAAAAGAGGTTGAGTGCAGAGCAAATCTTGCAGCAGATGGAGTTTGAAGATGAAAATTTTGCAGTTTGAGAGATCAGTGACGAGCGTCACCAAGAAGGGTGTCGCTCGTCACCCAAATTGCAAGAGCCCGACAAATTTTCTTCACAAACTGGTGACGAGCGATACCAGGTGGGTGACGCTCGTCACCCACTTCGAGCAGAAAATCGCGAATCATCCCAGCTGAGTGACGATCGTCACCACCCTGGTGACGGTCGTCACCAACCCCAGAACGAGACTGCTTTGCCTGTAACTGCAAATAATGGCCAGGAGCAAGCGTATAAACCCAAGATACCATTCCCCAAGCATCCTAGGAAGTCTAAACAGGAGATAGAAGAAGCCAGATGCAAAGCAATGATAGACAAGCAGATGCTTGAGATCCCTCTTGTTGATGCAGTCAAGCTTTCACCAACACTAAGAAGGTATGTTAAGAGGATGGTTGTGAATGGTGTAAGTCCTGAGGAAGGAGCATTGCTTACCAGAGACATTAGTGCAATTCTCTTGGGTACAGTTCCACAGAAGAAGAAGAAGGTGACTGTTTCTGAATAAGTCAATGCCATCATTCAAAGCAGAGTTCCAGAGAAGCTATCTGATCCAGGGACCTTTGTTCTTGATTGCTCAATCTCTGCAAGACGTTTTCCCCACTCTCTTTGTGATATAGGGTCAAGTATCAACTTGATGCCTTCCTCTGTTGCTGCTAGACTTGAATGATTGATTTCAAGCCAGCTGGGATCTCTCTCATCCTAGCAGATTGATCCATAAGAACTCCAGAAGGTATCTTAGAAGATGTTCCTGTTAACATTGCAGGCTGCATAATTCCTACAGATTTTGTGGTTCTGAAATATGCTGAAGAACCTAAAGATCCTCTTATTCTGGAAAGATCATTCTTGGCTACTGTTGGCGCCATCATTGATGTGAAAAAAGGGAACATAGAGCTTGATTTAGGTGATGTTGTCATGAACTTTGACATGGACAAGTTAAGAGGGAGTTCTACCATTGATGGCAGACCTTTTCTGTAAGGACTTCCAGGGATGAAGAGACAGTCATGGAGCATTCAGAAGACACTACTGCTGGATATGTCACTGAATCAGATGCTTGTGAGCAAGAGAACAAGATGACCATTGAAGGGGAAATATCTAAAACTTCTGCAAAAGCTGTTGGGTTTGAGGATTGGAGTGAAGATGATATCTTCGACATTAGGCTCAAAAAAGAGGTTCCAATGAATGCCAAGTTGCTGGAGGAAGATGTGTTTGTGATGGAGGCAAGAATTGCAGAGCTGAATTACAAAAAAGTTGCAGAAACTCGAACTGCAGGGTCACTGACCTGGTGACGCTCATCACCAACCTGGACACAAAGGATCGACTAGATCTTACGGCTACAAGTCCATCTGATGCATTTCCCATTCTTCTTTTTGACTACAACCGGGTTGGCGAGCCAATCGGGGTATTTGACTTCCCTGCGCCAAACAGAAAATTCAACATTCCACAACCCAGAAACCTGCAACTAAACAAAGGTATGCACTTCTTGGAACCAATTACAAACCTCCTAATTTCATCAATAAAAAATTTAAAAGGTGCAAAAACTGCTTCACACTTATGCAAGCAACGAGATTCTCGTAGAATACTTGGTGTTTCTTTTGATGATTCTGCAGAAAAACGAAGTGTCGCACCCCCAGTCAAAACCCGCCCTGCTGATGTTTCTCACTTCCTTGGAAGAGTTCATGCATCTACTGCTTATAAACCACCATGGATGTGGAGACATTCTTCTCCAAGGCATTCAATGCCACCTTCTATTCCACCAGCTCTCTGAGCAGCATTCAAAGTCGAGCTAATGACTTTAAACAAGCGATTAGTGGGAGGCAACCCACTGGTCAGTCTTCTTTTTCATATACTTAGCTTCTTTTTCGTTTTTACATTAAAAAAATAGAGTCAGTTTGTCAGTTTGCCTTGATGATGTCTTGTGAATTTGTTGAACCATGAGTTATGCTTCATTTGGATGTTTTGATGTGTGTTTTGAGTGCTCTAACAGTCTAACTTCGTAGTACAAATGATTACATATCGTTTAAGCATTCAAACAAACGATTCTGAAGTATCAAACGTGGTGACGCTCGTCACCAAGCTGGTGATGCTCGTCACGCGTCCCTTCGCGAGGTACCACTTTTCTGACTTGATTTTACACGTTCACATGCTTTTTTGGACCAAATCAAGGCTTAATAACACTGGGCACAGTGTTGTTTAAGTCTGGGGGAGGTGGTTACTGATGTTGTGTGCGTTGTGTTTTATTTTTAGAGTCTTAAAGTTGAGTCAAAAACCTGTTTTTATAGAGTCAAAATTTTGAAACTGTCAGTTTTTCTTGGAGCTAACCATAGGACGTTATGCTTATAAGAACAATTGCCACAGTAGTTAATTACAAGTCTTACTAAGTTGAAAATCATAGGTAGATCAGTCTAGCGATGAAGGTTTAGGTAAATTTGTTGTTATCTCCACCTTAATGAACTTTAAACTTCTTATCTTGGGTCTTGATTCTCATTGATCTTGATTCTCTCTTTCAACACTGACAAGTATGTTTAGATGCAGTCTCTCTTTGATCTTCCCTGATGCAGTTTTTAAGAGTTTGAGTCCAAAGACTGGTGCATTCATGACCCTGTCTCCTCACAAGGAACAACAGTAATGAACACACTCAAAAACCTGTCTCCTCACAAGGAACACAAGTACTGAGTAGCACCATATCTTAGACTGTAAAAAATGAGAAAAGAGTTGAAAAATAGAAAAAATCAGAATGAAAAAGATAAAGGGAAGAGAAAATAAGAGAGCTGTGTTGAGATTGCTTTGTTTAGTTGTTTAGGAAGGGAAAAGAATCTGTAAGTGATTGAGATGATAAAACCTTGATGAGATATCACACTTAGATGAAAATAAGGAGTTAGCAGTAGAGATTTCGGATTTCTTGAAGGGATTTATTGGATTTGAGAGATTTGCTAAGCTTGTGATAATAAGACTGAAATTTGATCTTGTGTTGACTCTGTGGTATATGGATTCGAAAGTGTTAACTAATGTGGTGTTCCTGATGTTTAACTGACTGTTTCTTGTTTTCAAACCTCGACCCTGTTCTTTGTCTGATGTTTGCTTGAGGGAAAGCAAAAGCTAAGTCTGGAGGAGTTGATATATCATGGTTTTTATGGTTTTTAACCATGATACAAGTCCTTTTTATTGAGTCTTTTTGGTCTTTTTAGAGTCCTAGTAGAGTCTTTGCAGGTTATAGCATGTATGGAGCATAATTGGAGATATTGAAGCTTTTTGGAGCATTGCAAGATGAAGCCACAAAGTATGCATCTCGGGAAGAAAAGTATGGATTTGGGTGACGCTCGTCACCCATAGAGGAAGGGTCGTGGCCTGGTTTTTAAAAGACTGGGAAGAATTTGCATTTTTTCCCAGAAGTTCTAGTATTTACAAAAAGGCTTCAGATCGTGTTTTAGCTTGTATATTAGGTTTTTCAGCCATTCTTTTAGCGGATATCTTGTATCTTATTCTTTTTGGAGAGCTTTAGAGAGAGATTTGTAGCAGAGCTTTTGGAGAGACAAATCAGACTCCTTCAGAGCAGATGTTGAACTCCGTTATTTTTATTTCTTATTTCTTTTATGCAATCTATTCTTTTATGATGTTTGTTTCATTCACCTTGTCTGAGTAGTTTGTTAGTTAAGTTATGGCTTCTCAAAGGTTGAATTGCTAAACTTATAGAAAATCCATTGGTTCTTCATTTGTGCTTGCATTCATATCGATTTCTTAGACACATCATCTGGATTTCGAAACCCTAGGTTGTTTGATAGATGTGAGAGCATTATTAATCACCTGAACTAGTATTAGATGAGCAAAACGCCCTAGTGCAAAGAGATCAGGTTTAGGAGTTTTGTGAACAATTGAACTTGATCATTACTGCATGTTTTGAATTGTTAGGGTTTGCAAAGAGATTTGAAACTCAGTGATTTAGACATAGTTAACTTCTGCAATGAAAATTGATTAGTTATATATTTGCGATTCATGTTCAAGACAGTTCTTAATCGTTCCTGATTTCTTGCATTCTACATTCTCGGATTCAACCTGCGAATTGTCCTGTTTTAGTGCTTTTACTCTTCTGAAACTTAGATCAACAACCAGATTTCGTTTGCTTTCTTTTATTTTGTCCTTCGCATTACATACACTATTTACTGCTTAGCTTAATCTGAACCTACAATCGATAGTGTAGTTTACATACTCCTTTGGAATTTGATACCCTTTATACTACGACTGCTTTGCTGTGCACTTGCAGTAGTTTTTATTTGGGTAAAACATAAACCCTATCAGAACCTATTTCATCATAATGATAAAACTCAACATCTATTCTCGAAAAAAATAAGGTATATTGTTGAGAAAAAAAAGATAAATTTAATATAAAGATATAATAATTTTTATACATGTTTGTTGGATAAATAAAATTTTTGATAATTATGTAATATGAGTTATATAAAGTGTATTTGGGTGTATTTTCTGTATATAAAATGAATATAATTAGCCAGTTCAGAGTACAACCTACATATATTTTTCTTAAATATCAGCTTTGTTTTTTGAGTATCAGATTTTATTCTATATGTTTTAATTGTTTTTGATCATATATATATATATATATATGTTGATATTTTACCAATTACGCTTTATACTTATTTTTACTATATAATGTAGTCTTCCTAAACTAATTGTTACAAGTTAATTTTCATATCAATAACTCTATTTGTTCTGCCTTAGTTATATTTCTTTCGTTTAATTAGTTACTAAGAAAAATGAAGAACTTGATACGATTAATCCCTATACTTTTTTTTAGCTATACTTCTTGTCGCACCAGGTACGCAAAACTAGTTTTTCTTTGTATCAAGCTATAACAAAATCTACAAAAATATATATTTTTGGTATGAATGTTAAGATCTGCTAAAATAAATTTATATACATATTATTGTTCCCTGAATAATCATTTTCCAACATAGACTCCGATTTCTTTTTCTTAGTTTTGATTAGACAACATTCAACCACTATTATTCCGATAAACTCTTCTATTTTGATTATAGCTAGGCTTTACAAAAAAAAAATTAGGCGTTGGATGATATTTTTCTAGCGAGAGGGACTTTTGTTACTAATGATCATATATATGGTCACAACTCACAAAATTAAATTATAAAACTGAATAAAAATATATATAATTTTATAGGTTTGAAGATAGTTGAAGGACAACAAATGTGTGAAGCAAAGAGCATAAATTATAGGGGAATGTGCATGAAGTGGAGGACCTGCAAGCGTGTATGTATAAGTGAAGGTTTTCCTGATGGTCTATGTAAAGGGTTCGTCCGGAAATGCTATTGCAAGAAGCCATGCGTTGTTTCTAATTAAACTAAACTTATTATTAACTATACATAATGGCTAATCGATTAAATCTATACTCGCTACTTAAATTGATAAAATAATAGAGTACAAGCCATGTACTTAAAACTCATACAATGTGCATTTGTTTTCATCAATATAAAGATAGAAATGATCAATATATAATTTTAAAATTTAACTTGAGAAGCTTTATCATTGTCTAAGATATTCGTGAATAAACTTTTTAATTCTTTAAAAAATTATAGATGGATCATTTTTTATTATGAAATAAAAGTTTTAATGGTCGGTAGAGCCCATTCAACAAGTTAATATCTATTACTAATAAAAGTTGATGCTAAATGCATCTAAGGGTGTCCACATAAGATTTAAAGATTCAATTATATTGGTACACATCATCATTATTTTTAGTTAATTAGATATTTTATATTAAAATTAATTAATTTGTTTTAATTGTTATAAGGAAAATTTCTAAATTTTAATTAATTTTGTTTTTGTTGATATTAGAAAAATTTCTAAATTTTAAGTTAGTTATTAATAAAAAAGAGTTTTGAAAATAGATCTTATTTTTCAATTAACAATAAAAAGGTAAATTAACATATAAATAGATTATGAAAGAAAAATCATATATATTGAACAAAGTTATTTAAAACTGTATTTAAAACCATAATTAGATTATTTTAAAATTTTAATCACGACAAACAATTAAAATCTAAACTGCTAACTTAAAATATATTAGTTGTGATCCGTGTTGATGTTTAGACCAATGTGAGCGTCCACATATGACATATATACTCAATCTGATTAGTCGATATCAGCGATTTTTATTAAATATAAATAATATAAATATTATTAATAATTTAAATAAATTAAAACATACAAAAACAATTATCACAATAGAATGGAGAATTAAGTGAGTAATTTATTTAGAAAAGTGAGTAAATTAAAACATACAAAAATATAAAATTATCACAATAGAATGGAAAATTAAGTGAGTAATTTAGTAATTATCACTTAAGTTTTTAGTATTATTTAAGTTTTTTTTCTCTTACTTATTCTGTTTATATTGATTTTCTTAAATAAATAACATAGATATTAAGTCAATATACTCTTTTTGTTAATTTAACTTTCTCAGTATGAAATTTTATTTTAATTGTATTAAAATGTTGTAAGAAATAATTTATGTTTTGGTTTTTGTTAGTGAAACATTTTTTTACTAGAATTTTGCCCCCTGCTATGCAGGGGGATTGGTATTTAATTAATAAAATTTAGATAAAATTAACATAAAAGATAATAAGTTTAAAATCAAAACAGTTTGATATGGTATTTAAGTAATAACTCTTTTATTTATAAAATTGATAAAAGATAACATGTTTGAAATTAAAACAGTTTAATATTTTTACTATTGAAATACCTTAAATTTGAGAATTGGATAATAGAAAGACAAAGTAAACATACTTATCCAATAGTAGTAAGCTTATGTGTTTTATAAATTTAAAAATATCCATTAATTAGTTTAAATAAATATATAAATGTCAATTAAATATAGAATAATAATAACAATAATAATATATTTTAGTGTTTGGTATATAGATAATTAAATATGGACTAAATGATTTTGGTTTGTTACTTAACTTTCTCACGACAAAATATCTATTAAAAGAATAATAAGTAAAAAATTAAAAATAAATGTCTACTTTGCATATTATTTTATCCTTTTGACTTCTTTTCTCAAACTCAGAAAGATAAATCACAGAAAAAGAAAAAATATATATCATCCCAATATATTTGATCTATAAATGTTATCATCATTAAGTAGAACCTAGAAATTTTTTGTAGGAATAATAAAATTTGCATCTTGCCATTTTCATAATGGTGTGTTTCTGGTAGTTGTTTTATTTTGTAAATAATCACACTAATATCTAGATTAAAATCCAAAAATCGAAAAATCAATAGAATACCTATAGTAACTGCTTTTTTTTTTTGCAAATTCTTAAAAGATTATATGGGTTAAACATTTCTGATATACAATATGTATATATATATGATGAGGGTGGCGATGATATGCTGTGAAAAATGGGAAGTTAAATTGAAGATCATGTGTAGTTATGCAATAAATGTGAGATTTTTTTTTAAAAAAACATAAATTGCTGTGATAAAAAAATAAAAAGTAAATTAGTTTAAAACATTAAAAAGGGACACTTGTCAATCTCACAATTGCCAACTGACTTGTGCTTTATAAGTATAAAGATATTGCTTTCTTCAGTAATTAGTATAAAGTATTATTTTTGGTTTGTTAAGATTTTTGTGTTAATTTTTTAAATATTTCCCCAAAAATTATAAGTTTTAGATGACTTTTTTTATGATAATTTAAGATGAATATGTTTCTGGCAGTATTGATATTTTTAAATAATAATTTTATATGTTTATACGAAAATTTAATTTTAATATTTTTCTAAATAAATTACTCACTTAATTTTTCATTCTATTGTGATAATTTTATTTTTTGTATGTTTTAATTTATTTAAATTATTATTAATATTTATATTATTTATGTTTAATAAAAACGCTGATATAAACTAATCAGATTGAGTATATATGTCATATGTGGACACTCTCATTGGCCTAAAACATCAACACGGACCACAACTAATATATTTTAAGTTAGCAGTTTAGATTTTAATTATTTATCGTGATTAAAATTTTAAAATAATCTAATTATGGTTTTAAATACAGTTTTAAATAACTTTGTTTAATATATATGATTTTTCTTTCATAATTTATTTATATGTTAATTTACCTTTTTATTGTTAATAGAAAAATAAGATCTATTTTCAAAACTCTTTTTTTATTAATAACTAACTTAAAATTTAGAAATTTTTCTAATATAAATAAAAACAAAACTAATTAAAATTTAGAAATTTTCCTTATAACAATTAAAACAAATTAATTAATTTTAATATACATTATATAATTAACTAAAAATAATGATGATGTGTACCAATAGAATTGAATCTTTAAGTCCTATGTGGACACCCTTAGATGCAGTTAGCATCAACTTTTATTAGTAATAGATATGTTATTTATTTAACAAAATCAATATAAATAGAATAAGTAAGAGAATAAAAAAAACTTAAATAATAATAAAAAACTTAAGTAACAAAAATAATATAAATATTTAAGCTAATTATTTAAGAAATAAATATTAAGAAATTAATTAACTAAAAACCTAAAACGAATATTAAGTTTTATAAAATATTATTTTTTAAAAAAACACATAAAAATATATTGACTTGATATCTGACTAACTACTTAAAAAATTCATATAAAAGTATTTAACTAACAAAAAATTTATGTCTTCAAAATATCAATATTTTAAAAAAAATGGTATGTTAAAATATCAAGAGAGATACATTATCAAAGGAAAAAATCGTATAAAATAAAGTTAGTTTGATATTTCGGTTAACTACCAAACAAATATTAACTAAAAAAACAAATTATGGTATAAGCTTTTGAGAGAAGTTCACTTAAAATTTTGAATAACCAGTTATAGTATGTCAAATTAACATTTTAATGAATTTAAAAAGTAAATTTAATTAAGAAAAATATTTATGTAAAAGATATTAGATTAATATATATGCTACCTATTTGAAAAATTAATAACAAAAGAGATTAATTAAAAATATATATGTTTTAAGTATATCAAACCTGCAGAAAATTAGATAATTAAAATAAAATATAAATTTACCATTGAAGATATTTGAAATAACAAAAAACAAGATCTAAGAAGAAAATTAGTTTGAAATATAGTTCCAAAAACATTCCTGATTTCTAAAATATTGGTGTTGACTATGAATGACCATATAAAGTTTTAATAGGTTATACAAGTTTCTAAATCAAACATATTATGTAAATTAACAAAGATTAATATCTTGGTTGCGTCTGGTTGAAAAAATAACAAAGTAAAATACTACAAAAGTAACTTTACATTCAAAATATAATAAGTAATAAAGTCTGATTTGTATACATATTTACTGCTTATAACTTAGTCAACATGAACAAAATTTTATTTAAATCATATAATATGACAAAGTTATGAATTAAATTCAAATTGGAATATAGGAAGATAAAATATTCAAATCAAAACATGATAAACACACAAAAGATATTAAAAAAAACAGTGATAATGTGAAGTCTCAACATCATCTTACATGTTTAAAAACAAATATTAGCAAATAATTGACTGCAAATAAAACAGATCTTATAAACTGAATAAAGATATAACCTAAAATCCGTAGAAGATCTGGTGGAGAAGCAAAAAGCAGCTTTACACGATTAGTGTAGCTTATTAACAAAAGTAAATCAGAATCAACATATATCATATATTATATATGTATATGTACACAACATTAGTAAGACATTTAGTAAAGAAACTAAATATTTAAACATATAAACCTTTTAAAAAAAGAACCATAGAAATCTTAAGGATACAAAACAAAACACCAAAAATTTAGTAAGAAAATCATTTTCTAAATCAAACATATGCACATCAAAGTTGGATAATTCGTTAGGTGTCATTACTATGATTTTACTTAATAAGATTTATAATTTTATAAACAAATATAGGAAATACTACATAATTTGTTTTAATTTTTTTATATAAAAGAATATTTCTACAAATATATTATAGTTTTGATAATTTAAAAAATATTTGCCAAAACATTAAACCAAATTATTAATACAGACTCACACGTAGCGCGAATTAAAAGCCTACTATATATATATATATATATATATATAAAGTTACCTTATCTCACTTCTCATTCCGCCACCTCAGCCACTACATCATAAATTGTTTATCATTTTTTTTTAAAAAAAAACATAAAATAACATTGACATTCAATATAAAAAATAAAAAAAACTAAAAAAATAATTATAATATGTTATCAGAAAATAAAATAAAATACCTTTTCTCACTTCTCCTTTCGTCACATCAGCAACTACATCATAAA